GCGGCCCGCCTCAAGCTCCACTTACTGACGACCTCAGAGAAGACTCCCCGATGAGCAGAGCAGCACCCCAGGCATTCTTCAGTCACCAGAGGCCCTCCGGAAACAAAGCAGAGCAACAGAAGGCCGTCTGGGACTTCACCCCAGGAGCTGCAGACACAGGAACCTCCCTCATCGACTGCTGGAGAAAAATGAGGACTGAGCATGCCCAGAACGAGCCTGCAAAGAAAGAAGAAGGAAACATAAATACAAGTCAGCGCAACATAGAGATAAGTAAATACAGACATACATCTACCATACCCAGGCCTTATTGTGAGTATGCTAAGGTCTTAAATCATGGACAGCTACTAAACATGAATAACACCTCACTACACTCAGGGACAATACCTCCAGACTTTATAAAATTGAAATTAGATGGAAGCAACTTAATGGAATGGGATCAGTGTTTACAGATTGTATATATGAAAGAAAATGTTTTATTTTTTATTGATAACCCACCAAATAAGCCTTGGACCTATGAAATAGACTGCCTCCACCACAAAGCATACTATATGTTAATTGTTTCTATTTCCCCAAGTATACTCCCCAGTATAGAGCATAATTTAACTGTATTTGAAGTATATCAAAAATTATTCAGACTGTTCTATAGCAAAAATGTAGCCACTACCACAAAAATCTCTAGGGAATTCTATTCTGCCAAACTAAAACATGATACATCCATGAGTGAGCATATCTTGAATTTAAACGCTGTAAGAGCAGACCTTATTCAAAGGGGAGAAACCATTTCTGACAACACCATGAAAAGCATTATAATTAACTCACTAGATCACAGCTGGGATAACTACATTACACTAATAGATAACCTAAGTATAGAGCAAATTACTTTAGAAAACCTTACCAATAAGCTTATTACTGAAGATAGACTTAGAAGAGAGCGATATACACAACAAAGAGAAGGTAGAAATCAAAGAAGGACTGATTTCAGGGCCAGAGACAGATACCCACATGAATGTCTCACATGTGGATCTGAAAGACATCAGAGTAGAGACTGTCCCAAGAATATAGGATACAGTGACTCATATAAACACAAGGATAGAAGAATACACTTTTTAGACAGAACCTCCCCAGATTACAGGTATAAGAGAAGAGAATCACCACACTCTAGAGAAAGACAAACATACAGAAATAACCCTAGAAAAAATAAGAAAGGATCACTATATGGAATAAGAAATAATAACACTTTGATATCTGATTCACTCAACACCTGGCTCATAGATTCAGGAGCCACATGCCATACAACTCATAATAGAGAAATATTAAGTAACTTCACTGAAAAGAAATATTATATTAAAGTAGCAAACCAAAATAGAGTCCTAGTGAGAGGAATAGGAGACACGCATATAAAAGGTATAGGAAAAATAGAGGGGGTACTATTTGTGCCCGAAATTCCAAATAACATATTGGCAACCCTAAAGTTAAGCATAGACAATGCAATAGAAACCACTTTCAGAGGTGGAAAGGTATTCATGACTAAGAACAACAGAAACATAGGTAAACTATTTACAAATGATGGACTAACATACCTACTGCCACAAGATAACGAACTAGTCTATGCAAACTATCAATTAAGAAACAAAAAACCAAATTCAGATAGCCATGATGAAAATAATGATAAGAATGCATCAAACACTGATACTAATATGTCTGAAAATTTAAACAATGGAAAACCTATTCACGATAATTGTAGTCACTTACTCCACAGAAAGCTAGGACACGCGAGCTTTCCAGTCATACGAAAAATGTTAGAGTGTTCCGAAGATTTAAAAATAAAGAACTGTAAAAATTACTTAGAATGCTCTGTATGCAATTCTTCCAAAATTAAAAACAAGCCAAAACCCAAAAAAGCCACCCGCACCACACAATCAACCTTTCAACTAATTCATATGGATGTAGTAGGCCCATTAAAACCTTCAATTAAATACAAAAAAAGATACTTCCTGACCATAGTCGATGACTATAGTAGATTTGGTTTTGTATACACCCTTAACCACAAAAGTGAGGTTTTCAAAAAATTTAAGGAGTTCTTTAAAATGGTAGAAACACAATACAATACCAAAATCAAACAAATAATGACTGACAGGGGGTCGGAATTCCTATCCAACGAATTTTCAACTTGGCTAAAATCACAAGGAATATTGCACTTTAAATCTTGTCCATTTTCCCCATTCCAAAATGGAGTCTCTGAAAGGAAGAATGGTTTGCTACAAACCATGGTTAAATGTGTGTTAGATGATGCTGGTTTAAACCAGTCATTCTGGGCTGAAGCCCTTAATTATTCCAATTACACTATAAATCGCTTATGGTCCAGTACAATCAATAAGACCCCATACGAACTCATGTATGGAAGGAAACCAAAAATTGGGCATTTACACGTATTTGGTGTATCTGCTGATGTATATGTGCCCTCACAGTTAAGGCGCAAAGGAGAGAAAGTATCCAAAAGACTGATATTTATGGGGTACGAATCAGGAACCAAGGGATATCGCTTCATTGATAAAAATAATCACTTCATTGTATCCAGATCTGCCGTGTTTCATGAACACATGAACTGGTCAAAATTACATCTCAATGAAATTTACCCAGAATCAAAAAATATTACACACACGCACGCAAAACATCACACATCAGATACGAACCCCAAATCCACATCTACTAACAGAATCAAATGCCCAGTAATAGTTAATGATGAATGGAAAAAAGGACACCCCACTTTGAAAGTAGATCAATTAACCGAAAAAGAAGCTAAGTATATGCATAGCGATGAACATCCCCAGAATAGGCCCATTAGATCCAATAGGGGCATAATTCCTAAAAGATTAGATGATTACGTACTGTCTATCCAAGCTAAACACCTGACTCCTAACACATATGATGACATACTTAAGCTACCCCTAGAAGAAAAAAGTAAGTGGGAGGAAGCAATAAAAAAAGAGATGGACAGTTTGAGAGAACTAAATGTATATACACCAACAGACCTGCCCACTGAGAAATCCCCTATTGGCACTAGGTGGATCTATAAAATCAAGGAGCTAGAGGATGGTAAATTCCTATACAAAGCCAGGTTGGTGGCTCAAGGCTTTGCCCAAAGATTTCCGGATGACTATGAAGACACTTACTCCCCAACCGTTAGATCAGAAAGCGTGAAAACAGCACTAGTGTTAGCTTCTATCTTAAATCTGGAAGTATATCAATTTGACGTGCAGACAGCCTATCTGCACGCTGATCTAGATAAAGAAATTTATGTGAAAGCACCCCCAGGAAAGGATACAAAAAAGGGAGAAATTTGGCTATTAAACAAGAGCCTTTATGGACTAAAACAGTCCGGTAAGCGGTGGTATGAGTGCTTATCAAAGATACTTAAAAATATGGGTTTTGTAGCTACTTCATCTGATTTTTGTTTTTTCACAAAAAAAAATAATGATTCTATTGAATATGTTTTGATTTATGTTGATGATATATTGTATTTTGGACACGACAAAATTAAATGTGATAATTTCGCTGAACAACTAGGCAAAAATTTCAACTTAAAAATATTAGGAAAGGTAAATAAGTATCTAGGAGTCCAAATTGACAAAACAGATAAGGGGTTCAAATTATCTCAGAAAGACAAGATTATGGAACTCATACAAAAATGTAACTTAATTAATTCAAAAATTTGTGATACTCCTATGTCAACTGATTTTTATAGGAATGTGTATAATGAGTACGAACCATTCAAGGATAACACGTTATATCGATCAATTATTGGGTCCTTATTATACATATCTAATTGGACCAGGCCTGATATCACCCTTGCTGTAAATTTGTTGTCAAGACATGTAAGCAATCCTAACTCATACCACTGGGAAGGAATTAAGAGGATTCTAAAATATCTAAAGTCTAGCATTGATATGTGCTTATTCTTAGAACCATTCATTTCTGAAAAACCAACTTTGACCTGCTACGCTGATGCTGATTGGGCTACTGATTCAAAAACCAGAAAAAGTACTTCTGGATATGTTTTTCTTATAAATGGCTGTGCGGTGCACTGGTACACAGGCAAACAGAATTTAATTGCCACTTCCACAGCGGAAGCCGAATATGTTTGTTTATCCAAAGCGGTCAACAATCTAACTTGGTTCGATGACTTGTTAACCAATGTGTGGGATGAACCTGTTTATCCAATTATTATCAATGAGGACAATAAGGCAGCAATTGATATATCAGCTTCCGAAGCAATAGGTCAACGATCTCGACATATCGATATAAAATATAAACATGTAAGACAACTGTCAAGTATAGGATTTATTAAAGCTATCCATTGCAATACTAGTGAACAAATTGCTGATATCCTCACTAAGCCATTGCCAACCAAACAACATATGTATTTGACTTCCAAACTTGATGTGCATATATAATCTTAATAACCCACCATTAGTTAGGTATTTTAGAGGGGGATTTGTTACAGATGAAAATACCTAACCTGATATCTGTAAATATGTGTGCTTGTTTATATGTCATTGTGTGATGTCATTGTGTCACTTACCATTGGTTAGTACTTACCATTAGCCCCGCCTTCTCTGTATATAAGTTCTTGCTCCTCCCAGATTAGTGCCTGTCTAATTGTGTTCCTGAGGAAGAAAAGAAATAAATATTACTATTACAAGAAAGCCTACAGTCTCTTATATATGGGCCTAACCAGGATAACCAAACTAGCAACATTTTTGGCTATAATTTTGTCAGAACTTCAAACAAAAGGCAAAACCTTTTCTCCTATTTTCAGAATAAATAAATGAAAGACAACTCTCAAATTAAACATTTCCCCTGTCTTTCCCCAAACAGGCTTGGATTTAGAAACACACCTAATTATTATTACAGTTGTTGGAAGCTGATTTTGTTCTGCCTCATTCTTGTGAAAGCAGTGAAAAAGTTCGTTTAATTGAAAAATGTTTTCTTTTGTTTAGTGGATGGATGTATACATAGAGCTGCTGGTCCTTGTCTAGTTGCTGAATGTCGCAGTCTGAGCGGCTGTGAAACCGGACAAGCCAAAATCACTTGTGGTTATGACCTACCAGCAAAATGTGAGTAAGCTATTTCATACTTTTTAAAAAAAAGATCAGGTGAAATTATATATCTATATTTACATCTATATATTTATATTGAATTTTCAACAAACTAATGTAATGAAGCATTAATGAAATTAGCAAAATTAAGTGTGGTTTATGATGACTTTTGTCCTTTAGGAAATTGAGATATTTTAAAGACTTATTTTCTGCTAAATAATTGGATACATCCTGCTTACTTTGGGAAGTAGGATGGGTCACAGATTTCTGCCTAGGAAAAAGCCTTCTAGCATTTTAAGAAAATAAACACTTTAATTTTGACTGCATGGCTGTAGTGATGGTCACTACAGAAGATTGGCCAGGAGGATAGTTGAAAAGTATTATTTTAACTTAGATGTATTGCACATAAAACTTTATATTCCCATGTAATGTCATACAGAATTAACCAAGGATTTATTTTAGTTATTAAAAGGTTATATTCTATTTTATCCTGTCCTTATTACGGAACATCTATGTAGATTGGTGTTTCTCATCTTCAGTGCTCCTTAATCTTTAGATGGCCGCCTCTTTGGCTAGTGTAGTTGAAACATTATTCTGTTTGGCCTTGGCCAAATCGAAGGAGATGAGGTCATTGAAAACAGGTGTGATTAATTCCACTTTGGAGTCTGTATAAGTTGTTCAGAAAGATCCAAGATGGTGCTGTATATTTGCTGATTTCAAAGGGGTCTGCCTGTTGTCGTGACAGGAAGAAGTAGCATAAGGTCTTTCTTTGTTCTTATTAAATTTTTGTTAGTGTCTTATATTCTTTAATATTTGTGGAGGTCTCCCCCTCCCCGTTGATGTATATTATGTACTACTGTGTGTTATCTTCTCATTCTGCCTTCAAATAATGCCTTTATTGATGTGGTCATTCCTTCTGAATGCAAAAGTCCCTATGATTGAATCCAGCTGGGCTGAGGACAGAGCAATACACGTCTTCTGACCTGATACAGATTCCTTGGGAGCAAATTCATTTTAAGTGAAAAAGATTAAAGTGATTTATGTTGTTTCAGCTCTTGGGTGTAGATTGATTGGCAAATACTATGAGGACTTTGTCACACCTAAGCATTGCTGCTTTCAATATTAGAATACATTTTTCTCACTTCAAAACCTTGAACTGACAACAGTTCCATTATATGTAAATGAAGAGATGGTTATCTTCTTTTCCACGTTACATAATAGTGGAACCATTCTTGGGAAAGTTAACACTGAAACAATAATATGCAGCTTGGCTGCATAATAACAGTTATTAGAATGCAGGCTGTATTTTATACTGTAAAACTCGCTGAATGATTTGGACATTCAGGGTCATTTCCATACAGTTCAAAATTGTGAGGTGTGCTGCTGTGTTACAGAGGTTGCAAATTTCTGTTCTATGCTTTTAATCAAAGTTTAATACATTTATATGTATTAAATGTGACAAACATTTAATCAAAATTAAATCTGATCTATTCAATACTCCAGGTTGTCTGTACTGTAAAATCAATTTCAGTCCAGGAAAAGGCCCAGGGTACAATTGAATGAACATTGTATCTCATGAGAACTGTGCAAAAGTTTAAAAGATGCTGTGCTTCAATAATAATAATAATAAAAAAAGTTATGTAATCCCATCCCTTACAAAGCTGCTTCATGAAGGAATGCATGCCCCCAACTTCTCATCAAAAGGAGGTTATATTGCTCTGTTTCACTTTGAAGGCTACCTTGAATTGTCCCAATAGGTGGAGGAGGCTCTTGTGTTTCAGCAGAAACCTCTTCCAAGGAATGGAACTACAGTTCAAAGCTGAGAACTGATGGGAAGTGCCAATAAGAGGCAAACCATGCTATTTTCCTGCCATAAAGCAGCTCACATAGGTAAATTATAGGCATCTTATAGATCTCAATATAAGAATATTGTTTGCCTTCCTACTAAAGTTGAAAACTTTTTATATCTTAGCTGTTCTCAAGTTCAGCACCCTTTTGCAGCTTAATTCACTTAGAAAAAGAAACCCTCAGGATCTTCAAAACCCAGGATCGTTGGGACAATAAGTTCTTATTTCTCATCCAGAAAAGGAGGTTGTTTTGTAAAACTTGTCTGCAATAGTCTTTTCTCTTATCCAACATTTCATCCCTTCTCTGGCCTCCTGCAGAGAATCTGAATTATGTTGCCTGTCATATAAATAGGGATGCATAAGCTAGGGGCATACACAAAGCCCTGCATCTTTTATTTAAGAAACCATTAATTTTAGGCGTTACACATGTTTCTTTGAAGTATCCTCTAAAATAAAAAGCTCCCAGAGCAGCTAATAATGATCTATAATAAGATAGTAAAAATGGAATACAAAAGGAAAGAGATTGGGGCGAAGGAAAGGGAGCAAGGCTGTACATTCTGTTATCTATTCTTCATTGCTGAAATGGCCTTGTAGGACAGAAAAGATTTTGGAAGAGGAGTTAAAAAACTCATGGATTTTCCCTTCTTTGGAAGCGGAATGGGTGTGGGACTCTACAGAGCTAAAGTAATGGTTTCCTATGTCTGTTCAATGAAGTGGATAGAATGGTTAAACATTAAAACAGAAGGGGAGAAGCCAAGTACACAACTGGATAAAAACAAGGCATGAAGATTATTACTAGAGATTGTGTGGAGCCTCAATCAGTTTTTTAGTCAGGAATGACCAGATAATGCTTTCCCCAAAGTCTTAAAAAGTGGAACAGAGTCCAACTTCTTAACTAGATCTATCAAGAAAGGTAGACTAAGGACAACCAAATTCTTGCTTCTTTAGTTTTTGAAGGATTTAACCCTGCCTTTCCTAAAAGATTATTTGGGTAGCAGAAGAAGGGAAAGAATTCCGTGTAGTAGTATTACTAGTAGTAATCTGGAGGCACCTCATTTTTGGGTACTAGAAAGAAATGTCATGAACGGAAAACAAGCAATGATGCACCAACAACAGGTTGATTGTGGAATAATAAATGAAGGACATCTGAAGGTAATATCAGGATTGTATAGGTAGCAGGTTGAAGCATTGTTTACACAGAATTTTTAAGTGAGAAAATATACTAACATTTGGCAAAAATTAATTGATACTTTTAATTCGTTTCTGATCTAATTGGTGACCACAGCCTGCCTCATTTTTGTGAGCAAAATTTCGTTTTTTAAATAAAATCACATTCTGACCCAGTCCTTTTTTGTTCTGCGGTTTCTTGTGGATGTTCTCACACTCATCAGGCAGCCACAGCAAACTGTAACATAACAGTGTTGTTATTACACAAATGGCACTATTACATATTTGGTCACAATATCTGATACAGTATGTAGGTCACAGCATTTGTGACACAAAACACTGTCATGTACCTTTCATCATTTGTCATCCTATGGACATTAGTTCTATGGAAATAAGACAGATTGGTTGGGCATAGTCCAGGATGGTTAGAAGGATAATTTATTAGGATCCCAATGGTTCACTTTTATGATCTGTCATAGTGATCCCTTGGTCTGTATTAGATAATGTCATTTGCTGCCTGATCAAATCTACAAATTTGCTGGAGCTGGAGCCTGCTTTTCTATATAATCTTTAAATCTCTTGGCATTTTGCTAAATGTATAGTATAGGTTGTATAGGTTATTTAAAAAAATGGGTAGCTGTCCTCTCATGGGCTACAACTAGATATTGAACCAATCCATCTGTAATTCAAGGAGATATTCATGAAAAAGTAGCCACTAAATCAATACCAAAGCAGTATGTGATGTTTCAGAAATATTACATTAAGTTCCATTGGGTGAGAGCAAGAGAGCAGAAGTCAGGGTTCAGATAAAAAAGAGCCAATATATAAGATATCTGTCAGGCATTAAGATTTGAAGCACACAAATAGTCAAGTATACAAGGTTGCACATAGTACACATTTTTCTGGCAATAAGTTGCTCTGTAACAGAGACCTTTATAATGAAGGTTACACCACCATCACTGTCATATCCTAATTTATGTGTTCTGACAGCAAAGCCTACTAACTATTGAGCTTGTTTTGTTACAATTTTCTTCCCAAAGTTACTGAGACTTTTTGTATTTGATGTGCTTCTGTTTATACTAACTGAGTGGCTGTACAAGTGAATCTGGGGTCTGAGGCCCTTCTTTTGAGAGACTACATGACTGCTCCAGGATCTTTGCCAAGATGGGATTTGAGATCTGCTGTGGCTAAGAAGTTCAGAAACATAATAAACAGTTTGGGTATATGTGGCTAGTGATCCATTAACATACACTTTCATTCCTTATAAATACTAATTATGTATGTTGTTATTAATAACTTAGAACTGGATTTCAGAATAAGTAAATATTCTAATGATCTTGTTGGTGTCCAGGGATTGATAAAGAAGCAATTAATCCAATTTTAAAGATCAAAATAATATATTGGAGTCCGTTGGCTAGGAGATAACTGATGGGAATATAAACTAGTTTGAGCATCCTAAGGAAAGATTGTCAATAGAGAAGATAGGATCAATTTATTTTGAGTCTGTTCCAATTCAGCTATAAATCCACTCTGTTCTAGTTTCTATCTGTCGGCACTTAATTTTTGTTTTTTTTTAATTTTTATAAAATTAAAATCATAATAATCTCAGCCACACAAATTAACAACCCCTGAACTACATATACACAAATTTTCGATAAAGTCATAGGATAATTGAAAGCCATCATCTTTTGTACTTTTAGTTTCAAAGAAATTGTAGACTTGTAGAAGACTATTCCACTCTTGAGAAAGATAGTCCTTTGAAAGTCCATGGGAAAAAATAATAATTAATTTCCATGAGAGATTGATAGGTTACGGTTAGACCCAGGGGTGAATCTACTTACCTTCCCAACTGGTTTGGAAGTGCACATGCCATGCGCATGTGCAGAGGGTAAAAAACAGATTACTTCCTGGTTAAAACCAGGAAGTAACCAAGACCAGGCAGGTGGGCAGAGCCTTGCGCCGCCATTGCTACCGGTTCAGCTGAACTGGTCCAAACCGGGAGCA